AACCGTGGGGGGTGCTTGGGCAGTAATAGCAATTAATGGAAGATCCAAGGATTCTTACAGTCTCAGCTCGAATGAAGCCCTTCTCAAAATCAGAATGAATGACACCAGCTGCTTGTGGAGCAGTCATTCCTAGAAAAGATGAAGAGTGAGAAAGAATGAAATTTGAGGAAACAGAGAAATCTTTTCCTGGAGCTTGACTAGCTTTGTGAATTTCAGAAGAACAAAAACTTCAAAAGGCAAAAATCAAAACAAAGCCAACCTGCAAGTATTGTCCATGCTTTTGTTTCCTGAAACAAACAACAGAAATAAAGTATTCATTGTCACAGGAAATCAGAATAAAAAATTGATCGTGAATATGATCACTGGAGATTAATTGGAATTCAAGTTGGGGAAAGTTGACCATAATAGAATGGTTTATGAAAAATCATACACTTGGGTCACCATTGTCAAAAGAAATTGTGATCCATTGTGAAGTGGCATTCCATCATTTCATGGTCCATTGGATAATAGTACTGCATACACTGCACTCACAGGATACATAAAAAAGTCACGTTTTACCTTCTCTCCTGATGTGAAGTATGTCCGCAAACCCAAAAGGTCATATGTTGCTCTTATAAGGTTCCCAAGGCCACTTTCCTCAACCCCTAGAGATTTTAAGTATTCGTACCGCTCTTCTAATGGAAGTTCAGAAAGCTCGGATTCCACCTGTGATTAGAGGCAAAAATTTGATATCAAGGAATGATATTCACATAATTAGTGAATTATTCACAAGCAGTCCATGTACACATAAAATCGTTCAACAAGTACATTGTTCATAGGCTATTAAAATAGGAACCAGAGAACCTGTAAATGAGGAAACTTCATGAATGCATGTAGGAAGCCACACAAGAAGCTCTCCCTCTCTCTCTCTCTCTCATTTGGAAGAAATGGCTCCTAAATCATACCTGAGCAGAGATTGCCACAACCCCAGAGAGGTACTGAGAAGCAAGGTCTTTCACTTCTCTGACATGGGGAATGCTCTCAGGGTCACCTATATCAGATTCAGCTACATTAGCTATGTAAATGACAGGCTTCATGGTGAGCAAACAAAGATGTTTTATGGCTTCCTTTTCATAGTCAGATAGAACAACTGATCGTGCTGGTTTTCCTTCCATTAGTGATTGCTGAATTTTTTCTAGAGCTGATCTCTCTGCATCTTCCTGTGGTTTAATGAATACTAAAAAGTTATACTAAGAAGGGGGACTGTATATACTAGAACCCATAGTCCATTCCAAACCATTGTTGCTGGAGAGAGAAGGGGAAGCCATCAGAGCAGGACAGGACCCCAATGATGGGTTCAACTCTCTCCCCATGACCTTCAATCATTTCATTGAATGATGATGATCCAATGAAAATGTTTTTCCATGGTTGATAATATTATATTTTCCTTTAAGAAGATGAATCATCGGGAAACTGAAAGTGAAAATTCAGAAGAAACTTAATAATGCGAACAAATACAAAATCTAAGAGCTCAGATTATAGGAATGAACACGTGACCTTCACTTTTGATGGCGAATCTTTTCCCTTGCTCTTTTTAAGCTTTTCGATTCGTTTTTCAATCTGCAGCTCTTGTAAAAGAGAGAAACTATTAATGATTACTGGTGTGGCACATCTCAACACTAATGGCAAGAAGCATTACAATAAAATTTTTGTGGAAATATATCAAGGGCCTCAAAGAAGAAAGTGAAATAGTATGAAACATAAACTAGATCACTTGTCAGTTATTTTATGGGATCACCACCACTACTCCGCTAAATGTTGCTCCTTGCAAAGTGCACCCGCAACTCTGACTCAGTCCCACCCTTCAATTAACAAAAGATCTTCATACCCATCTTCTGTTCTATAGTATACTGATGCAAGGGATTATGGCATCACCCCAGTTTTCATCACGATAAAATATAGTTTTCCTTTCATTTACACAATGTCCTTTCCAGGTCCCCCCACATAGACCAAGTGTTCTTGCCACCTAGGCTACAAAGACCCACAACCCTCTGATTATCCCAAGAGTTCATGCCCCATCTTCTATTCAATACCCCCCCTTCACAAGCCTGAATGTTTGTTATTCTTAATTTCTCACTTTCTCAGCCCAGGTTGTTTTTTTCAATCCTAACATCAATGTTTTCTTTTCTTCACTTTTCTTTTTTTTTAAAGAAAAGTGAACCCACACTTATTAATAAAAGGAAAAACTTTATATAAGGGTGAGGCCCTCAACAATTAAATCAAGGCGAACCTCAAAAATTCACTAGACGAGGATGTTTCAATGCTAAAAAAACCCTCGATTTGATAATCTCAACCTCAAGATGCATGGACATGAGAAAAAATAGATTTTAAGTCTTGGAAATAGTGCATCGCGTAATGTATTATCTAGATTGTCAATTTTCAAGATTTTCATGTGTTCATAGATCCACTTGATCTACACCATTTTCAAATCTTTAAATTTTATAATTAGAGATGAAAATAATTTTTCAGGCCATCATAAAGACTTATGATACTGAAACAACATATTTTGGCACCATCTGAAGGTGCGCCTTACTTTGACTGTTTAGGGCCTCAGCCAATCCAGGTTGAAGAAGAAAGCTAAAGGCAAAGCTGCAACCCTAGAGGCACTCGAGAACTCTCTAACCTAGCGATGATGAAGATTCTTTTGGAGAACATCCGGAGTTTGGGTCACCTGGAGAAGCAGAAACATGTCCGCCAATTCACCTCACAGTTTGCACCCTGTCTTCTTGGCTTGGTGGAAACTAAGCTCCCTACCCCTTCCCTCTCTCTAATTAGGTAAATCTGGGGCTTCAGACCATGTCAATGGGCTGCCCTTGAAGCTTTCGGTGCATCGGATAGAATCTGGGTCCTTTGGGACCCAACCATTCACTCACTCATGGCCATCCACATCGGCCAGTTTTCAGTCACTGTCACCCTATGTTGGAACTCTGATGCCCTGCTATGGAAGTGCACAGTGGTCTATGAACCAAACTCAGATAGCGAGAGATGTTTTCTGGAGAGAACTACAATCTGCAGCTTCTTTGGCCTCACCCACCTAGTGCTTAGGGGGTCACTTTAATGTAACAAGATGGTCTCATGAGCGAAATTCCCATGACAGAATCACCCACACCATGGTTCAATTTTCAGACTTCATCTCCCAGAACCACCTCATCAATATCCCTTTGGAAGGGGCTGAATTTACATGGTCCAACCACTCATCTAGCCCCACCCTTTCTATACTTGATAGATTCTTAACTTCTCTCGACTGGGATAACCTCTTCCCCCGGAACCCAACCTTTTGTCCTTCCCAAACCTACCTCAAACCATCGGCCCATACTTCGTGACACCCAAGCTGTCCCTAAAGGGCCCAAACCATTTTGCTTTGAGATGGCTTGGTTCAAAGAGGTTAATTTCTCTTCCTTCGGCAGCTCACAATGGGAATCCTTCTCTACCTTAGTGCATGGGTGACTGGATTCAGATTGCAGAAGAAACTTCAACTCCTTAAGACCTTTTTCAAATCATGGAGCTCCCAACTACTGGGCAACTTTTGCATACAAAAGGATGCCTTCTGCAGTTTATACAGAATTGGGGCTCCACTGAAGAATCAAGATCCCTTTCCCCTGCCAAGGTGGAGTGTCGCTCAAAAGCTAAACATGAGTGTCTTATTCTCCTCAATAAAGAAGAGATCTACTGGTCTCAGCGAGCCCAGGCTAAATGGCTCAAGCTTGGTGCCTAAAACACTGCATATTTCCACAAAATTGCAAACTGTCACAGGCGGGAGAATTATGTCACACATCTCAAAGTGGGGGAACGCATCCTAGAACAACCACACATCATTGAGCAGGCTCTTGTCCAATACTTGTCCCAGCTTTTCTCCACTCCAACCTGCCCCAGACCTCAAATGGCGGACCTCTCTTTCTCATCCCTTACCCCTGAAATTGCAGCCTCTCTTGAATGACCCTTTTCTGAGGACGAGGTCCTAGGGGTAATTAGGGACCTCAGCTCTGATCGAGCTCCCAGACCTGACGGAGTTCCTATTGCCCTTATCAAATCCTTTTGAGACATCTTAAAGCCTTTTTCGAAGAATTCCACTCCCGGACCATCATCCATAAGGTTTTGAATGCTATGTTCATAGCATTCATTCCCAAAATTGAGAGAGCTAAAAAAATTAAAGATTTCAGGTCCATAAGCCTAATTAACAGCTCCGACAAGATCCTTTCCAAAGTCCTGACAACTCAGCTCAAGTCGGTCCTCGGATGGGTCATCTCCCCAACCCAAGGGGCTTTCATGATGGACTGCCAGATCCAGGATGGGGCCTTGATAGGTCATGAATGTATCCATTCTCGTTTCATCTCCAAAACTCCTAATCTGGTTATCAAACTAGACTGAGAGAAAGCTTATGATCATGTTGACTGGAGATCCTTGATGAAACTTCGAAGCCGTCTGGCGAAAATGGATCCAAGGGTGCATCTCCAAACCCCAGTTCTCGGTACTGAATAATGGCACTCCTAAGGGATAGTTTCAGGCTTTGCGAGGGCTCCGCCAAGGTGACCCCCCTGTCACCTTTCCTCGTGATAGAGGCTGGGGTATTCAGTGCGTCCATCTTTCGAATGTACCGTGTGGATCTTCTCACAAGCTTTCACACTAGTAGGTCCGGCCCCTCCATTTCCCACTTCCAATATGCTGACGAAACTCTTCTATTTTGCAATGCCACCCAAGAAGAAGTTGATTGCCTACTCCTTTTCCTCCAATGTTTTGAGATGGCAACGAATTTTAGAGTTAACTTGGAGAAAACAAAGACGATTGGATTTGCATAGATAATTCCTTTGTCCAAATCCTAGCCGGGCGTTGGGGGTGTGTTGCTGGAGAACTCCCTTCCACTTACCTGAGTCTTCCTCTTTGCCTTGGCCTGCCAAGACTCCATCACTGGAGCCCTGTTGACAAATTTGAAAGGCGGCTGGCTGCTTGGAAAGGGAGGTTCTTATCCTCAGCTGGAAGAGAGACTCTCATAAAGGCTATCCTCTCCAATATCCCTTTATTCTTCATGTCCCTCTTCCATATGCCAGCAGTAGTCATTGCTAGGCTGGAAAAGCTCATGAGAGACTTCATTTGGTTGGGTGAAGGAGGCCATAAATTCCATCGCATCTCCTGCGCTATGGTGTGTGTACCTAAAGCTCAAGGAGGTCTTAGAATTCGCAACATCAGATCGAACAATATTGCTTTGATGGGTAAAATGGTGGTGGCGTTATGCCACTCAACCCAAGCATATTTGGAAAGAGGTGATAAAGAGAAAATATTGTCGAGAAGATCACGCTTGGCTTCCCTCGTGTAGGACGGGGGCCAACATCTCGGGCTTCTGGCGGTCCCTCCTCCACTGTCGCCAACGTTTCCTCAATCAGGTGCACTATCGTCCCAGGAGTGGAAATAGGGTTATGTTTTGGTTTGACATGTGGGTTGGCTCTACCCCACTCAAGGACCAGTTTCCATCCCTCTTCCTCATTCCTCGTAACCCCCTTTCGATGGTGGCTGACAACTTTACAAGCCCACATACCACTAGAACTTGGAACCCAAATTTTAGGAGACCTCTTGCTGACCATGAGCTCATAGAATTCTTGGAACTCTCGGCCCTGTTACATTCGGTGTTCCTTCTCCCTTCTGGGAACGACAAGATCATTTGGTCCCCCACCCCTTCTGGAGACTTCTCAATGGCCTCCTTCCATCATAGCATATCCTCGCAACCCACCCATGCATTGGAACCTCCTTCCATTGCGGCTAAGGCTTGGTGCTCTTTCATACCTCCCAAGATTCAATTCTTTAGTTAGATTGCCCTTCATGAAAGGGCTCTTACACTTGACCAACTACAGTGTAAATGTACACCCCTGTCTAACAAATGTGTTATGTGTTTAAGGGCCGAAGAGACAAATCAACATCTCTTCATTCACTATTGTAAACATGCCATTTTTTTTAAAATGGAAAATTTCATGATTTTCCTACCACAACCCTCAGAACCATATTATTCCATAAGATCCATGGGCCATAAAACACCGTAAACCATGGTGCTCATCCTGTGATCCCGCATCCTAGCAAATCTAGTAGTTTTTAGTAATTATCCATTCTACACCTTTTTCAGTTTATAAAAAAACATTCACGTGCCTCTTTTAATGTTAGATGTGTAAGCCAGGGAAATCTGAGAGATAGAGAGAGCCCAGGAAAATCTAAGAGAGCCCAAAGAGAAAAACCTTGAGAGATAGAGAGAGCCCAGAGAAAAAAACCTTAAGCCACTAAACCCTAGTCTGCAACTTTAGATCCAAGATAACCATTCAACCAAGCCAAGGCTTGGTCAACATTGAAGAGAGACACGGAGGATTCACAAAGGAAATTACAGTCATAGTCTTGAAACGGATGAGGTCTCAAAGCCTCGGGTTTGCCAGGCCGACTGGCCCGATTAGGTATGTTTTTATCCCTTCTCTAGTTCTTTATTTCATTTTTTATTAGATCTAGGTCTATTTCATCAATTTTACTTTAATATTTTGTGCTTGTGATCAACGTTGACTCTGTTACTAATCTGAGAGCAGATATGCTCATTTCTGAGCAGATCTGACCTTAGATCATAATTTGAATTGTCCCCACTCTCTATTATTGTTAAAAACAAGTTTGTGGTTTGGATCCGAAGGATCTTCCTCTGAAGATCTCTCCGATCTGCATCATGACCCCAAATTGTTCACGATGCAAATCAGAATGATCTTTGAATGAAGATCGACCAGATCCGAACCACAAACTTGTTTTTAAAAGTGATAGAGTGTGGGGACAATTCGATTTATGATTTAAGGTCAGATCTACTCAGAAATGAGCATATCTGCTCTCATATCAGTGACAGAGCTAGCGTTGATCACAAGCATGAAATTTTGAAGTAGAATCGATGAAATAGACCTAGATCTAATAAGAAATGAACTAAAGAACTAGAGAAGGGATAGAAACATACCTAGCCGGGCCAGTTAGCTCGGCAAACCCGAGGCTTCGAGGCCTTGCCCGCATCAGGACCGCAGCTGTAATTTTTGCCGTCAATCCTCTATGTCTCTCTTCAATGTTGTCCAAGCCTTGATTTGGTTGAATGGTTATCTTGGATATAAAGTTTGAAAGTTGCAGGCTAGGGTTTAATGGCCTAAGGTTTCTCTATGGGCACTCTTTATCTCTCAAGGTTTTTTTCTCTGGGCTCTCTCTACCTCTCAGATTTCCCCGGACTCTCTCTATCACTCAGATCTCATATTTCCTTTGCATACATGTCTAACCCTAAAAGAAGCAAGTAAGTGTTTTTTTATAGACTGAAAAGGGTGTAGAATAGATAATTACTAAAAACCACTAGATTTGCCAGGATATTGGATCACAGGATGGGGACCATGGATTATGGTGTTCTATGGTTCAAAGATCTTATAGAATAGTATGGTCCTAAGGGTTGTCTAAGGTAGAAAAATCATAAAATTTGTTAGTTTTAAAATGGTGTCTACAACTATGAAGTTGCATCAGCCATGTGGTTTGACCTGCTTCTCTTTAACTGGTTGTGGGCAACCCCTCGATCAATTCCTCATCTTTTCTGTACCTGCCTTCCCATTCCTTGGAGCAATTTAGGGAAGCTCCTTAGGAGGGCTTCCATTGCTGCCACCCTATGGACCATTTGGTAAGAAAGGAGTAGCAGGATTTTCAGAGGGGAGAAATCTCCTACCCCTATCCTCATCGAAAAAAGGTGGTCTCTTGTAACTTTCTAGGCCCTCAGCCATAAACTCTTCACAAATTACTCTTTTGCAGACCTCGACCATAATTGGGAGGCGATTTTGAACCTCAGGACCGTAAGGATATCACGTGCTTCACTGTGGAGGCCGCCTAATTATGGGGTAACCAAATTGAACTTTGATGGTTGCTCTCTTGGCAACCCGGAACCCTCCAGCATTGGTGGCATTTTTTGAAATTCTGAGGCCTTACTATTCTCTCTTTCTCCTTTCATATCGACATTACGGACTCCACTACTGCAAAGGCCGTCGCTTTGCTCAAGGGGCTCCGTAGATTTGATCCTAACTGGGATACATCTTTGATAGTCAAGGGTGACTACAAAAACACCATCACTTGGGCCTCTGGAGCTGCCTCATGCCCTTAAAGGCTAGACCACAATTTTGCAGAGATTTCACATATTTGTAGCAACATACAGGAGACACATTTATAAGGAAGCCAATGCTGCTGCCGACGCTTTAGCTAGGACAGGAGCTAGTCTCAACAACTCCTTGGGGAATGTAGGCTTTTTTAAGCCTGCATCCCACATTTCGTCCTGGTATTTGGTGTAGAGCATTTTTTGGACCCCTAGGGATTTTTGTACAGAGCACCCATTAACTGAGTTAGCCTATTTTTTGTATCCACTCTCATTTGCTCTTTATAATTATTAATACCCAACTTATTCAAATAATAAAATGAGAGATTGTATACTATAGTCCAACAGACTACGGAAAAAATATTGCAGTCAATTACTTAGGTTCAATGCCATGCTAAATCAATTGTACCTAAGTGCCACACAAATGCCAAAACAGTTGGAAACTTGCATACCTGGTCAAGATCCGAAAATCCCAGTTCTAAGTTAATAACATCAATATCTGATCTTGGATCAACTTTCCCATTGACATGGACAATATCATTATCCTCAAAACAACGTACAACCTGAAAAATCCACAACAACATGCAAAAGATGATTCTGCAAGTAACGTGGAAAGAGAAAGAGAATACTGTTTTCCTTTTTTGTTTTTAAGCACAAGGAAAGAGGGGAAAAACTACTAGATGAACTATTAAGATTAAACTCGTAAGGTTTTTAGAAGTATCTACTTTAATTGGCCAAAACTTTCGCCAGTGTAGGACTATAGCAAAGATAAATATTAGAGTTGTGAATCACTTCTTTGTAAAAGAGAGTCGTAATATGCCATTGTAAAAAGATGACGGTGTGTATATCATATGCATTGCACCCTTCCTAGTAAAACAGTTCTCTTGTTTTATCTCATAAAGAAAAAGCCAGATCTTGGAAAATTCATCATCCACATAGGATTTTGACTTCTTTTTTTTAATGAAAATTGCTCTAATCTAAGATGACTTGTTGAGAATGGGCCAAGTCTAACTGAGACTCGAATCCAAGCATATTAAGAAGTGTAAAAGCAAATATAAACTTGTGTCAAGCACATGCAAATGAAAACTACATCCTCCATACCTGAAGGATTGAATCCACTTCACGAATGTGAGCAAGAAACTTATTTCCCAAACCCTGGGATGCCAAAAAGGAGGACGGAGAGGTAAGACAACACCCTCAGTTATATAAGCCAAAAAATGACAATGACAAGAAACTCAATTTGTCAAGTTCAGAGAAAACAAGCAGAAGCATAGCATCCAAAGGAGATTCAGTAAACAAGGATAATATCAGGTAATTATGTTCTTGCATATGAAATACACACTACAAGATTTTGAAACAAAAATCTTTTAGAATACGATTTGTCCCAGTGTATGCTACAAATAGAAAGTGTGAAACCAGAAAATGAAGGAAAAGGTAGTGAAGCGAGCACATATAATCAGAACAGAAAAGTATGCCCCAATAATTGTAACTTCAAGATAAATAACCAAAAGTCTAATAAATCCAATTATTTATACTCAGTGATCACTTCAAACTGTGTTTTAGAACTCGGCCATCAACCTGGCTCACCAAAATCCACAGCAAACTTGAAAATGGTAAAAAGAAAAGTTAAAAAAAAGGAAAAGCCTTAAAAATTAAAACAAATAAAATGATAAACCATAGAAATTTTAAATAAAAGATGAGAAATGTTTTTCAAAAAATTAAAAGAGAGAGAGAGAGAAAGAGAGAGAGAAACTGTTTAAAGATCATATTTTGTCAGAAAAATGAGAAAATATAAAAAAGAAAATATGAAAATATAGATTTGTAAAAGCATAAAAAAATAAGTATAGTCATTTACAATTGATTTGATAAAAAACTAAATCAGTTTCAAATGAACTTAATTATACCAATAATATTTATTTTAATTATGTACTCTCGAGTTTAGGAGGGATGAGAGCAACACAACCTGCCATGCCCATGTTAACGAGAGTCTGAGTCAACTCACTGGAGTTCTAAAACATTTCTTCAAAGTGAAGTCTATGTCCTAGAATGTGTCAATATCATCGTAAACTTTAATAAACTATGAGTGTGTGGAGTTCCACTAGGTGATGAAAATTCCCCTAAACTATTTATTTCTTCTTGGGGTGCACAACCCAAAAGTCCAAGGGTATGTAGGGTAACTTTACAGATTGAACAATTTTTCAGAATGAACTTTGGGTTTGATTCATTGAGCCCTCTTCACAGGTTAAATATAGCTTATATACAACAAGAATAAATTAAGAATGGGTGCTATAACCAAAATAACTTTTGCTGATGTGTTAGATCATATGTGAACTTAGACAAAAAAATACAAGCATATTAACATGTAAAAAATTACTACTTCCACTTTAAAGAAATAAAATGTGGGAAAGATACTAGAACTTAATGGAAAATGAAAAAACCCTAGTCCACTGGGTTGTCACAGTCAATTGAAATGACACATGGTGATGGAGAGAATGGGACCACAATTGGAACATGTGTTTTGGTGGGTCCCACTCCCTCTCTATCACCGTCCATTTGAATGGATGGTAATAAGCCATGGACTGTGATTTTTGCATGGCCCATTTGATTGCAGTTTATTGTATTGTTAACAAGTGAGGATAAGAAAGAATAGATAGAAGAAATGGAAATAGTGACAATCATTTGAAACAGAGACTGCAGCTTGTCACATTCACTACGAATAAAATCAACAATTTAAAAATCACCTCAACCTTCATGCCCAAAAATCAGTGAGAAAACTTCAATTTCATAGCACTACTTTGAGAGACGAGATGAATAGGTTGTCACCTCCCCTTGACTTGCTCCTTTTACAAGCCCGGCAATGTCAACAAACTCTATAGATGCTGGAACTGCACGTTGAGATTTACTGAGATTAGAAAGCACATTCAGACGAGGATCCGGAACTGCAACTATGCCCACATTAGGTTCTATTGTACAAAAAGGAAAATTGGCTGCCTGAGCTTTTCCATTTTCAACCTGCAAATATAACAAAAATTCAACCATAGATAAAGCAAATGTTGACTTCTCATGGAAAGCAAAGTAAAAAATCTGGCCAGACTCAAAGAAAACCAAAAATGGGTTCCATATTAGAAGTGAACAAAAATATCAGTCTTGACCATTACAAAATCACCAAACATAGATTCCAACAAAGGAAAAGTATGCTAACCATAGTCCAATAGGTTCATGACCATCTGATTAAATGATGGCCAATGATGGAAAACTGGAAAATATCGGTCAGTTCTGTCTCTATTCTGTTCATCACTTCAATGGATTGTCATCACCCCATCAACTTTCTTTTTCCACAAACATCAGATCATAGAATAGTGCCCTTACAATAAACTCTAGAATAGGTGCAACTTCAATAAATATGGGAAGAAGAAGCAACTTCATAAACAGGTTTACATGTTTGGGCTATGGTAGCTCAAAAACGTAATTCTTGCATTAAGCAAAATAAATAATAAAATATTCAAAAAGGCTAGATATTGGATATGTAGCCACCTGCATAGAATGTGGCTAATTAAATTGTGATCAGCAGTACTGATTTTATTGCATCACATACATATAGCTGCATAACTGAAACTTATCTAAACCAAAATCTCCAGAGACTTATTAGAAGCTGTAAGTAATTTTTTCTGTAACCAAGGTTTTATACAAAATCTTTATACCCCAGATCCCTTTACCTGCTCATAATTATTTACCATCTACCCTGGTACTATAGTATTTCTATCTGCTAGCTTTTCAAAGAAGTAACAGATCTTTCCTCCTTATTTCTCGTTTCAATATTCAAACTTTAAAGGTAAGAATTGGACAAACACGAGCATTTAGCCACTCATAACCAAAACAAGCAAGAAAAGAGTACTTGCTCGATATATAAGAATGGACTTTTTCTTTTTCATGGCAATAAAATTTACTGTTTTAAATCAAAAAGAGCAACACAAATATACAAAGTTGGGGGTGTAAAGGACATTGATCCAAAACATGTGGATATGCCAGAAATAAGAGAGGTCACTAAATTCATCCCCTCCCAATGGGTGCCACTGTGATCCTAAAACCAAACTAATGATATAACACTCAACAACAAGGTTTAAAAACTTGGCCTAGTCAACTTGGATCCGGCCAAGTTACTCAGACTTGGCAACCTGCCAATTAGAATTCCTGGGTACAAACTTGGAAACCTAAAAATATATATATTGATCATTTTTTTAAAATCATTGTATAATATTTATATGATAAATATGTGCATATATGGTTTTGATTTGTTTGATGATGAATTGTGAATTTTTTTATTATATGCTCTATTTTTCTATTTTCCAATTGTTTGGATTGTTCTGAAGTGTTCCAGCTATAAACTAATTAAGTATTTCCAGCCATAAACTTCTTTTTTTTAATCCAAATTCCATCTTCTACACAGGATTTTTCTGTCTTTTATAGGCATTTAATGCTGTTTATAATTTCTTTTCCTTTGTACTGATTTTATTTTTAGCATTTTCTTTGAATTTTTTTTTAGTTTTGGGCTCGTACCACACTCAACGAGTCCACCTGGACTCACCTGAGTTACTTGGCTAGGGCATGGGCTGAGTCCAAGCCCGAGCCGAGTTTATAATTTGGTCAACAATATAAAATTAACAATAAACAGCACTACATTATCTATGCAAACACCTTATCACAAGCATTCCAACTGATAATGAAAACATCACTGGTTATTCAGGAAATGCATATCAACTTCATAGTTCATATAAAATAAGCACTGCATTAATCAGCAGTATCACTTGCAAGAAGATTAAATGAACATATTTACAAATCAAATAACTAAGCAACCAACAACCAAAATTCAGTAAACAATGACTAATAGTTCTTACCTAGATTACCCATATTCATTTGCACCAACAATGGATTTCTCACCAAATAACGCACCATGATAGAAGAACCAACCTTTAAAAATAAAAAGAAAAAAAATCTTGAGACCCCCTCAACATAGTTGATTTAAACTAAACTTACAGGGGAAAAGAAAATAAAAAGAAAGAAACTCTTTTGAAGTTCCAGATAAACTCCGGGCCCGTGGAGAGCAACTAACCAAGGACTAACAGTTCTTGCCCATTTTTATCCACATTTTTTAATTTTTACCTGCATAAATTCTTCCTAATAACTAACCATCCAGGAGTAAGATTCAAAAAAGAAAACCAATTAATCAATCGATTTAGACAGAGAGAGATAAACTCCTATTAAGAAAATTAGTGAGTACAAAACATCATGCTTTAACACATATAGAGAGAGAGAGAGAGAGAGACATTCATTAATCATCCAGTTGAAATATTACCAACTGGTTCGTAGCTCCTTAAGAAAAATCAAAAGCAAACGTATTCAAAGCACTAATGCATAAAATGGAACATGGGTATTCATCTACTAACCACTGCATTGAAAAGGGTAGATTTCCCTACATTAGGAAGACCAACAATCCCAGCTTTCAAGCTCATGCTTATCTTAGAACCAGAAGAGAAGTATCTCAACTTGGTAAACACCATAAAATGACCATATCCTGAAACTGAAAACCTAGGGAGAGAAAGAGTTCCCGTCAACGAAGCTCTGAGAGGAACTCTAAAGGCAGGGAAGAGATGGTTATATGCCATCTCTCTCTCCGCCCAATGGATGGATGCAGTGCGAATACAAGGTACTAGGTTTTTCACTATGGAAGATTTTATATAACGCTGAGGCCTTAAACAATCAAATTAAGGAGCACCTCAGTAGAAGACGTCGTTTTGATATTCAAATATCGATGATCTGGATTTCTAAAATGTATGGACACGAAAATAAAAAATTCAAGATAGACCTTAAATATTCAAAATTTCCGAGTGTTAATATATCTGCTGGATATGCACTATTTTTTAAGTTTTAAATTTTATAAAAAAAATTTGTTTCATGATTGCATTTCGATCCCCCAGGTATAAAACATATCTCTTACATGTGGATGCAAATAGGTAGTCTATCACAAAAAAAACAATTGAAACTAAAAGTCTAAACTTTTAGAGATTACATGTCTTTAAAAATTGGGCAACGATTCCATGCAACAGTTGTATTGTAAGATAATGTAATAATATCAAAATATCATCTTGTGCCAATTTATTTGGTCCAAGTTTTGAAATATACATTGTTTTCGTTCTAATGAACAATCACAAAAAAAGAAAAAATAAAAAACACAACTTATAAAGTATTTTTTTAGCCCAATTAACATAGGCCGTTCATTTTGGTGAGAAGATTTTAGATCTAGGCTTTAGAATGGTTTTTTCATTTTCAAATTTTTTGGATGGTTTTATTATCATTAGATGAACAATGTTAAAAAATAAAAAAATGATTTTGAGTTTGTAAAGGCTAAGATCTTGAAATTCACAAAATGAATGGTCTAGATTCGTTTTTAGAGGGGACTCATTTTGACCATATCTAAGGTTCAAATTGAACTCTTTTCTTAGGGAGGAGGGGGGAGGGATCGATTATTGAGATGAAGAGAGTATGTGCAAAATTTGGGGTCATACAAATACCACAAACATGGTTTTCTAGAAGTGTCGTTGCATTATACTATCATACAACCATTGCATTGGATCATTGCTATTAAAAATTAAGTCAAAAAAGCCATTTCAAAAATATATTTTTAAGAAGTGACTCATTTCCACATGGACTCCTAGAAACCATGTCTAGTTTATAATTAGAGATAAAAATAGGTTTCAGGCCATAACAAATACTAAACCAGTATCTTTCAATACTATTTAAAGGTGTGGCCTTAGCCTTATACAGACCACACCTATGAATGAATGATACATATGATCCGTAGTCAGTTGATCGATGGCGATGAGGAGTGAACCTTTTATTTTTATTTTTGGGTAAGTAAAATTTATTCAGATGCTGAGGTATTGGATCGGGGGGAATTGAATCCGACATGATCCCACTTGAACATGAAATATAGAAAATTTCTTAAGAAAACTCAGGCTGAAAGATGATAACCCTTGTTTTGATAACCTGATTATGAAAAGGAGAAAACTCGAGCTCGAGCTTAGGCAAAGTCCGATTGAGAGGGGAGAGAAAAGGGATGATAAGGTTTTGTGTTTCCCTATTTTTCTAAAAAATTGGTAGCACCTACTGTTTTCCTCAAAAATAGGGAAAAGCATGGAAACATGAAGAAATGTAGGGCTCCAGGTTTCCACTCTTTTTCGCATTTCCAAACATGAGAAACTGCAGTAACTAAATACAAAAATCATTTTCTCATGTTTTTTCAATTACCAAACAGGGCCTTAAAGATTTCATATAAACATGCGTATAGAGAAGCCAATGAAGTTGTCGATTATCTCGTTAAGAAGGGATTTACTAGATCTAAGCTTTTAGTGATTGAGGGTATCCCTTAGTTGTGACTGTGTTTGATCTCTGCAAGTTCTTTTTATGGGCAAAAAAAAAATAGGAACAATATTAAACCATAACTAAGAGATGGACAAGTGGCATTCAACTAAATGAGAGACCTAGTGGGAGAGAACATAGGATAGGTACCCTACAAAGTAAAAATAATCTAGGCCAGGTTGTATATTAATGACAATCATTTAGTGTTCTTTAATTTCTATCTTTTATCTATGGTTTCTGTTGCCAAATGTCTGTACCATAAGAGAGATTTTGGGTTAAAAAAGACCAATTACTTTTCTTAAATCTCCCTCTTCTTAAATAAAATTAATGTCACTCTCCTTGAATCTCTTCCTCCACCTCCTCCTCTCCTAGGATCTTTGACTCCATCTCTAACATATAAACAAAGGAAAAAGTTTATATAAGGATGCTACCTTATAATGTAGAACTGCGGATGTTCCTAAAAAATCCATCGAAAAATGTAGTTTTAATGTTAAAAACCCCTTTGATTGATCATCTTGACATCTAGATATATGACTATGAAAAATAGAAAAATTTTAAGTCTCAAAAACAATGCATTTTACAACAGATTATCTACACCGTACATTTTCAAGATTTTCATATGTTTATTGATTTTAACTATTTTTTAAATTTAAAATTTTATAATTAGATATAAAAATAGATTTTGAGATAATCCTAAAAACATTTTACATCAAAATTATATATCATGATAAAATTTGAAGATGCACCTTACCTCTATACCTACGGATGCATCCGTATGCAAACTGCACCCATAAATAAATTCATGGTTATCTTTCTTACTAAGTCAAAAATATATTTTTCTAGCCTATATTTTTAACTTTTATTTTCTTAGGGATGGAGACACAATTAGAGATTGTAGAACAAAATCTCTCTAATCTAATCTAATGAAATCCCTCTCCCTAGGTGGGTATTTCTGAGGGTGAAATTATAAAAACTGATATCCATTCCATTCCGTTCTTTTCTTGTCATGTACTCTCTCTCTCTCATCTGACTGTGGCCACTGTCTTCATGCTCTAGGAATAATTAAATTGGAGCCCACTTTCAAATAAAATTACCAAACAAAAAAAATATGTAATTTCAAAAGTATTTTCCTACACCATGACGACAGTGACCACAGTAAGATGATGTGAGGGAGAGTACATGGCAAAAAAAGAATGGAATGGAAGGGTGAGGTTCGTATAGAACCGAGGCTCTACACAATCATATTGGACCCCACCTTCAAATAGTGCTGAGAAATATGGTTTTTTTATTGGAAATCTTTGTGATTGTTTTAAAATATATTTTTATTTTTAATTATAAAATTTAAAGCCTCAAAAATAATGTAGATCAAGCAAATCTATGAAAACTTAAAAATCTTGAAAATTGACGATCCAAAATGCATTGTAAGATGCACTATTTCCAAAACTTGAAATGCATTTTTTTTTCTCATGTTTATACATCTTGATGTTGGGATGATCAATTTGAGGATATTTGAGCATCAAAACAACCTCTTCTAGAGAAAGTTTTAAGGTGGGCTCTAATTTGATTGTTTAGAGCCTTAGCTTTATATGCACTTGTTCCTTCTATTATTATTATTTTTCTTTAAGCATGATTTTTATTTCTACTGATAAGGAAAGTAGATTTTAGCAACGTTGCAATTCTTTTTTTTTTTTCTTTTTGTTTTTATCCTTTTTGAGGAACATTGGCTTTACTTCTTTCTTTCTTTTTTTCTCTATATTTGTAATTCAAAGTCATTGACTTATTAGTGACTCTACTCAGTGTTTATCTAAGAGCAATGCATGAGTAAACCATGGTTACATACAGTGTAGAAAAATCCGATCGCAAGTTGAATTGGCACCCACTAGTTCCAGCGGATAACCGATTGGGACTAAA